AGTTTCTGCTTAGCTGACGGTTCTACTAATTCAAGAGCGGATAGTTCTAGAGCCAACTGGGGTGATCGAGATGTCGAGGAGTTAATACGACCCAACGCTTGGCACTGGCGCAGAGATGTCGTCATTCAAATCTGGTGAAACCAACGGTCGCATGCGCTTGTCGCGTAGTGCGAGCACATGCATGCACGTCTTTCCATTCTGCCTTGTGTCCCGGTGTGTGCATATCGCGCAGAGTGTGTGAATGAAGCGTGCATACTTATTGGAAGGAAGTATTGCTCCATGCCCATTATTGGTCTCCGTTGTCGACAGAGAAAGCCCCGCCAACGCCTCAACCCAACCCCGGCCTGATTGATGGAGCGACGAGCAACTTCATTCTGTAGAGCTGTAGAGCAATAGAACAGAAACGAGCGTCCTCGTCTTTGGCTTTCTGCACCCACTGATCTATCACCGTCACGTGTGGGCCCCCAGCGACTGACATCGTGCCACCTGCACCTGGCACACGATCCAATATTTCAACCCGCCAACCAACCACCCGCCCAAGGTCTCCTGCCCTGCGTTTTAATCGCTCTCCAAACCTACACGATAGAACACCACACCCGCACTCTGGACGCAGCACAAAACCATCATGGCCTCCGTCCTGGAACACTCCCCCCCGGCGCATTCGCCGCCTGGGCCTGATGCGAAGCGACCCAAAGGTGAACAAGCACACGCCGCCGCCAAGCTCGAGGAAGCTTCACCCCGCTGACTGAAGAGCTCTAGGTATTCTCAAGAACCCCTCGCAAACCAACACCGCAACCGTCGCCACTGTGTCAAGCCCCACCCGCGAGACTCCTCCCAGGACCCGTGAGCGGGCCATGTCCAGCAAGGAGATCACCATCGAGAACACGGCCATCAACGCTGGCCACCGCCGCTCCTCCTCCGCCGCCCGCCGCCCGTCCCGCCGGCTCTCGTCCCAGAGCGGTTCTGGCGACCCGGCCAACCCTGCCGACGCCGGCCAGCGCCTCAAGTGGGACGAGGCGAACCTGTACCTCACCGAGCAGGAGCGCAGCTCGACCATGAAGATCACGGAGCCCAAGACGCCCTATGCTAAGCACTACGACCCGGCCGAGGACCCGTCCGACGAGGACGAGGCGATCGACTACATGGAGGGTCCTCGTCGTCAGCGTAAAGGTCCAGGTGCAGCTGTGGAGGACGACATTCCGGGTCTATCGCTGGGCGAGCCAGAGGAAGAAGTCCCGGAGGCGGCGTCGGCGAGCTCGCCCTCGTCCTCGAACAAGACGGTCCACGTGGATGAGGAGAGCGTCACCTCCGAGCACCCGGACCTGGTGGGACTTTCGCCCGAGGAACGCGAGAAGCACCGCCAGTTCGAGGAGGCGCGGAAGAAGCATTATGAGATGAAGAACGTGGCCCAGCTGCTGGGCCACTCGGAGGAGATGCTCGACGACGAGGACGACGAGGACGAGGACAGGGAGATCCCGCCCATGCCCAAGATACCCAACGGCCTTAAGTAGGACTTGGCTGTGGGCGAACGAGGTTTAATCATGCATTGATGGGTGTATTTTATGACGGGACGAAGGGTCGGTTTGGCTTTTTGTTTTTATATCTGCTGGATTTCTAAGTGTCTGAGACGAATTGTTCTCACCCACTCAGGAGTTGGGGGCTGTTATTCATCGTTCACCGAGGGCGTTATTTGGAGATGTGCACGACCTGGAAGGTTATCAAGAAACACACCAGAGAGAGAAGGGGCGGTACGAATATGAGGGTTGTTTATTTGGTTTCTCTTGCAGCGGTAGATATATATGCACTTGATGCGGCACAATACATTTCTCATACTGCCGTTCGTATTTGAGCATACACACACCCCCAACTTCGCCATCAAATGCTCGACGTGGTATTTTGAACCCAAACTTAATACGCGAACGCTTATATCGGCTCCTGAACGCTCATGCCAAACCTGCGTATCCCTTCAAACAATGTCGCTTGTCGTAAACCCATATCACAGCTTCCAGCGTGTCCCTCGTCTACAGCAACCCCTTCCGCGCCAGCTCGATTTTGCGAGCGGTCTCGCCTGGCTTGAACCCACTCCTTGAGACGCATATCCTCTGGCCCTCGGCGAGCTCGAACTTTTCCTGGTGTGAGTCGAAGGCGCACGGGCAGTGGTGAGGGAAGTGAACGCAGGCCAGTGTGTCGGGGCAGAGGAACTTGTCGCAGTTGGCTATTCGCAAGAACAAAACGAATTAGTCTCATTAATTTTCCAATAATAACATAAAGAAAGTTTTAAGAGAATTGAAGGAAATCTTACAGTGTTCGTAGCGTTGTCGGAAAAGCGATGCGTCGCTCGGGTTGTTAGGCGCCTGCTGGCTTCCTTGCTGGTGAGCTTCGTGAGGGTTGCCGTTGCCGCCGCCGCCGCCGAACATCTGGTCAAAGAAGCCCCCGAACTGGGCGTTGACCGCCGTCAATAATGTGAGGAGTGCAATGAGATATCGCATTTTGGACGAGAAAGCTTGCAGATAGTGCTTTGGACGGCGCAATGGTGGGTTGCGGCTTTGCAGGTTGCGTGGATGATAGCTGTCATGATCACGAAGTTCCGTTATCGATAAGACTGGCTGGGCGGGTGACTAAGCGTGAAAACTCCAAACAATACTGCGGCAGAATGCAACGGCCCATTCACCACCAAGCAAGTCAAAAACCGACGACGGCCACCCCTCGGGATTCACAACGGCCATGCGGTCTCTCATTGCCCAGCGGCCTTTCGTGGCTGCTCTCTCCGGCCTGAGCAGAGTCTGCATCAACCGACCGGCCCCGATCGGCGCCCAATTGGCCAACTCGCTTGTCCAGGGACAGAGGTACGCTTCGGTGAAGTCTCAAGGAGCCTACAAGAAGAAGAGCAAGAGGGGAATTCCCAAGAAGCTCGGTGCGAAGCGTACTGGTGGTATGTCAAGATCTTGACCAAGATTCCCACCCTTTCAAGATCCAATTGCTGATCCAATCTCGCACCCACCAACTAGACCAGTATGTCATACCCGGAAACATCATCTACAAGCAGCGAGGCACGCTCTGGTGGCCCGGCGAGAACTGCATCATGGGCCGGGACTTCACCATCCACGCCATGGCCACTGGCTACGTCAAGTACTACCGCGATCCCGCCCGCCACCCCGACCGCAAGTACATCGGCGTGACGTTCGAGAAGGACGACGTGCTCCCCTACCCCGCGCACGCCGAGCGCAAGCGCAAGCTGGGCCGCACCGCGCACCAGATCAGGCCCGAGGCGCCCAAGCCCGAGATCTCGCCCTCGGGCATCCCCTTCCAGATCACCCGCGTGGAGAAGGGCGAGCCGGACCGCCTGCTGCGCCTGCGCAAGGACTACAGCTACCGCGAGGACAACTGGCGGATCGGGCGGCTGGTGCAGACGACGGGCCTCAAGATCAAGCGCTTCAGGACGAGGAAGCAGTACTTCCGGCACCGCAGGTGGAGGCGCGAGCGGGAGATTGAGGGCCAGCGCAAGGCGGCACAGAGGAGGGAGGAGCTGGGCGACGACGCCGTCAAGGTCGTTAAGCAGCTGAGCAAGAAGGCTCTCAAGAAGGCCAAGAAGGCTGGGCGTAAATAGATGAGGGGAGGGGAGGGGGGACGGCGGCGTTGCTTTAATAGCGTGGGCTCGAGGCCGATTGAGATATGACATGATTGGTGATGGGGGAGAGAGCCTGTCACGATATACAATGTACACTATATGTAAGCCTGGCAAAAATACATTTGATGTTATATTTTCTTCGTCTCTGCGGTTTACGAGATAATGTTTGAATACTCTGTTCGAGGAGTCTACGGGTGGTAGAGCAAGTTCATTCTATCGGATGTGTTCGTTTTCTCTGGCCTTCTCACGTTTCAATTAGCCAATGTCTTCCATCTCTACTCTCTTCACACGGATGTTCGAATAAGCTTTGATCCTTTGGACGTATTGGCTGTCTATAAGGTATAGATTTAGCGACCATGTTAGGTTGATAGCAGGAAGAATTGAGCAGGCATTGATATTCACCTAGAGGATGATAAAGAGAAATATAATATTATTACAGAACGTAATTCTAAACAGAACCAAGATGAAACAAAGTGCACGCTTGATAAATATATTATTCCAAAAAGCAAATTCAATATAGGGGAGCGAAACACACGCCACTAATAGTGCGCTGGCCCAACCACTAAAGGGCTAGAGGTAGCCTCCCTCGCATTTTTGGTGGAGAGTGACCTGAGCACCACAAACAGGGTCAACTCTCAGCACTAAAACCTGCACTTAACGCGCCTGACGCGACTTGACCCATCCACCTTCTTCGATCCCCCTGCACTGTAACACTGGCCTAGATCGTCTTTCAACATCAATCTACTTAATGCTCCTTTGAAACTGGCCCTATTACACTGAAGGGCGTGAATCTTAATGCAATTCAGACTGAGCCGGATATTTCTTAGGTATTATAACAGGCAATGGCAGATACTTCTGGCATCCATGGGATGATGCCCTTCTGGCCAGGCACTGAGCCTTTGGCCCAGGTTGTCAGTGATATTCAACCGCCAGGGCGACCCTCTTCGGTGGCGCAAATAGCGACACAAACAAGTGAAAGAGTTCGCAAGATATGGGAAGCGGCGAAGCAGGACACCCAATCATTTCCCCGGCCACCGAGTACCTCAGGGGATGATATCTACAGCCCCTCGCCATCCTCTTCTGATGCAGAGGGAGAGGTAGTAGGAAGTGGATTGCCAGTACACCCCTACACTGCCAATAGCATAGGTGAGTTTGCCAAGACATGTTTGCTCGCTTTCACAAACCCTCCCAGTGCCTGTGCTCTTCTACTTACTTATAACGAGCTTTAATGTATTGGATTTCTAATAACAGAGAAACAGGTCCCTCCCCGTCTGGACAGTTATCAGGAACCAGTATTCATGAAGCTTCAGAGAGGGGGAGAAGGAGAGAAGATAACCTGGACCAGCCAGCTCCAAAGCGTGCTCGGAAAACAATGGCATCCTATTTTCCGGACAATTTAGGCTACCCCCGTGTCGAGCCATCCTTATCCAGGCAGTCTACAGGCGGTGGTGAGGGATCCTCTATCAGGAGTTCCAGTCGAAAATCGACATCCACACCAAAGCCCAGCGTCGCCTCACCGAGCGGGCGGAAATCGCTATACGACTTAAAGGAACAAGATAGGTGTGTCACCCTGAAGGGCAAGACATTCACGGTCATCGCGAATGTAGATAATCATTCCTACCGACACATAACAGGTTAAGTGATAACGTCTCGGCTGAGCTGTGTTTTCGAATATTACTGACATTTGATATAGAATCTGGGGAGCAGAAGCCCACAGGAGGAGTGCTTATCCCTGAAAACTACCGCCCCATAGGTCCAAGGCAGTATCATTGCCCGGTGAGGGGCTGTGACAAAGTCTACGAGAAGATTACCGGGCTTGGTGGCCACTTCTCCTGGTCTCATAACACGACTGCCTTCAACGACAACCGCGACGGGACGTTATCGTCTCTTGGACCTTACGAGACTGATGCCCTGGTCAATTCCTTCCCTGGTGTCATTGTCTCGCGGAATCCCAACACAATCGTACCACCACCTGTCCATGGGCAAACACCTGTCTTTCCCCCGAAGCCAATTACGGCACCTTCTCCCCGTCAACCAGGCGCTTACTTGAGAAAACTTCTCTCCCAAAAACAGCCGGCTTATGACCGAGAGGACATTCTTTTCATGCTGTCACTCCCCCAGCTTCGCGAGCTGCCAAAAGTCTGGGCCCTGAAACATGGGCTTACAAGTCTGCCTGAGGGCCTGTACGCTATACTCCTTGCCTTTATCGTCGGGGAGGATGTCTCTGCAACACACAAGTGTACGCGTTCTGGAGAGACAAATCAGTCCATCAGAATACCCCCAGGGATGCCAAAGGCGGCGAAAGCTCAATTGACCCGTGTCGAATCTTGTGTGAGCTGCCTCTATCATAACTTCGACCAACCTTCTAACCCTGCACCCTGCAGCTGGACGCCTGCTCATGAAGTCCACATGCTGGGGTTGTCTCGATCGATAGAGGGTAGGTCAAGGTCTGCCGATAGCACAAGACGCCTGCGAAGCTCTAGTCTAAAGAATGAGGAATCTGTGTCACAGTCGAGCGTGTCAGGAGAAGCGAGTGACGAACAGGATGAGGAGGAACCTCAACCGGAATCACCACCTCCTCGGAGGGCCACAAGAAAGCAAGCCACTAAGAGCAGGGTTGATTCGTCAAAAATGGAAGACTGGGAGTTTGCCCCAGGGAGACAAATTGATGAGAAAACCGGAGAACGTAAGTATTTTTACGGGTATACCACAGGCCCACGCCCTTGCTGATTTTCGTCTTCTAGCTTTCGCATTTTCTGGTCCCTACGTTACCAGCCAAAACGCAATACAAGTCGCAGAAGACATAGGCTTCCATCGGCTGCGAATACCACCTGGGGGGACTCAGCATTGGAGCGGTAAGAAGGACGTTTTTCGGCTCTGCGAAGTAATATCGGGCAAACTCGAGCTCAAGGTGGGAGATGTCAAGGTGCAGCCGCTCGGCGCGGGCGGGGTTTTGGTGCTTCGTCCTGGCATGAAGGCCACGGCTGAAAATCGACAGTACGATGAGGCGGTGGTTTCATGTCATAATATCTCGAATTACTCACTTGCGTGAAGTTGAACGAGGGCGGAGGTCTATGACCGCATTGTACTTTTATTACTATTTTAACGAGGCGCGAATATCGCGAAACTTGAGCACTTCCCTGGAGGAAGCATCTAATACCTTAATAATCCGAGGGGATTCAACAAGCGCACGGAAACCCACAAGTGAAATAATAGAGACACTTCGCACTTTGCTACTGTCGTTGCTACACTTTCGTGCTCTTCTCTCTTCTGCTCTTTCCGTTCAATTCTAAGAGCGGTGTAACATAACTGGCACTAATCCCATAGTGGCGGAGTACAGTGCGAATGGCAACATTTAGGCGGAAAGTAGCCCTAGCCTTTCAATTCGCACAGTATTTTTTTCCTAGGACAGTCCATGCATTGACACTCCGTCGAGAAAGAAAATTCTGTCTAGCGATATGAAGATCTATAACACCAATTGAGACACAATGGCACAGGGAGTCGAGTTTGACCAACGGACCACCTCATTCTTGAGTTGGTTCAAGAGCCTTGAAGGGGCTTCCTTCTCCGATGCAATCCAGATTGTTGACCTACGATCCAAAAATGCTGGTCGGGGTATTGGTATGCTGTCTCGCCTTTGGTTGAGGACAAAAAGAACGCCTACTAATATCATGCACTTCTAGTGGCCACGCAGGATATTCCTGCAGACACGACGTTGTTTGAAATCCCAAGAAGGGCCATCATCAATGTACAGACATCGGACCTTCCCTCTAAGCTCCCTGGAGTGTTCGACCCAGAATCGGAAGCCATGGATGTGGACGGCGGTGTCTCCCCTCAATTGGACAGCTGGAGCTCGCTCATCCTCATTATGATTTACGAGTTCTTTCGTGGGCAAGAATCACAGTGGAAGCCTTACTTTGACGTTCTCCCTGAGGAATTCAACACGCCCATGTTCTGGTCTGGTTCGGACCTGGACGCACTGCAGGCGAGTGCCACGAGAGGCAAGATTGGCAAGAGCGAGGCAGAGGAAATGTTTCGCAGCCAGCTTCTACCGGTGATTCGCAGCAATCAAGGCGTTTTCCTGTCGAGCGAGGCTCGCACCGACGAGGAGCTCATTGGGATTGCGCATCGTATGGGCAGCACGATCATGGCATATGCTTTCGACTTGGAGAATGACGACGACCGGGAGGATGAGGAAGAGGATGGGTGGGTTGAGGACCGAGATGGGAAGTCGTTGATGGGCATGGTCCCAATGGCTGACATTCTGAATGCCGATGCTGAATTCAACGCAAGTCTACTCTACTCTCCCTATAGCAGAAAACGTGAGCATAAAGCTAACCAACGTGTCAGGCTCACATTAATCACGGGGAAGAAAGCCTGACCGCCACATCTCTGCGGCCAATCAAAGCTGGGGAGGAGATCCTAAACTACTATGGGCCTCACCCAAGCTCAGAACTTCTTCGGCGATATGGCTATGTCACGGAGAGACATGGTCGATACGATGTTGTCGAAATCCCGTGGGGCGTTGTTGAGGAGGCACTGGCAGCGCAGCTTTCTGTGCCTGGGGACGTCATCTCAGCGTGCAAAGAGAAGTTGGATGAGGAGGAATTGGAAGACGTGTTTGTTCTTGAGCGTGACTCTGGGGAACCCAACTCAGATGGCACCTTTGCGGGCCCCGCTGAGCTGAAGGAGATGCCAGGTGACCTGCAAGAGCAGGTGAAAGCATTCCTCAAGGGCATCAAGAAGCTGAAACCCGACCTGATCCCTGACAAGCGAAAACGTGACGAGATCCTCAGTGATGTCATGTTGAACTCGCTGCAACTACTTGAATCACGGTACCCAACCTCGTACATCGAGGATAAGATTCTATTGAAGAGGACGGATCTATCGGATCGTCTTCGCATGGCGGTGGAGGTTCGACTTGGAGAGAAGCAACTTATCCAGGAAGCCAAGGCACTCTTCCAGTCGTCATCGAATGAAAATGCGGGAAAGCGGTTGAAAACATCCACGTGAAACCCGAGCTGCATACCGGTCCAAGTCAGCTGGGTTGATGCCGCAGTCGACCGGTGAGAGAAATTATTGGGGGCCACCACACCCTCTCTCGATCCTCGACCCGAGATGACATGAATGTGTTTTCAGTTGTCTCTTCTCTCATGGATCGGACAAATGAGCATATCCAACGTCATTTTGAGCGCTTAATTGGACCTTTATTTTAAGTTGGGTGATGCCTAAGCTTGCCACAAGGTAAGCTGCGCGGAATATCTACTGATAGGTATAAATAAGAGTATTCCCTCATGGCAGGCCCTGGGCGATATTTCCATCCACTGATGCAAGGTGTGACCTTCTCGACTTGGAGATCCATGTACTGTCTCCTGCGACGATTCTCAACCCTGATCAACTGCACTAGTTGCTCAACAGCCACTTGGGTGGAGCTGATTGGTGACGGTGGTGTTGAGCATCTTGGCCGTGGATTGCACCTGGCTCTTAATACGGCTGTGGGGATCGTCGCGCTACTTGAGGGAACGGTTTGGCGGTCGAGAATCATCGTCGTCGGGTAGATGAGCGTCCCTCTGTGGCGTGGCACTGTCCATTATTGGACAGCAGATGTGACTCCGAGAACATCGACGACCCCTGACGCGGAAGACCGGTGAAGGAATATTTGCGCGGCGTCATTTGTCTCCTTCAAAGCGCCGTCATCTAGACCCGGATTTTACAGCACACGACGAATGCCAAGCCCTGTACCACTCTCAGCTCGGCCCAGGCCGTGTCGCCTCCCTCTCGCCTGCGCAGGATATGCCTCAGTAGGCGATTGTTTAGGCCCGAAGGACTGGCTGATGTGGAGACAAAGATCGCCTTTGCTAGGTGTCATGTCTGGCTTCCATCTGGCTTACAGTTGTTGTATTGGGAGGCATCATTCAATCTAGACCTGGGCCCAGAAGTTGGGCACCACTGTGATGTGTGAGGAGCATTACCACCATCCATCCATCCCGACATTCCGGCTGCTCGGCTAACAAGGGACTTTAGGCAGGTAACAAGACCAAATCGGCGGATTTCCCACTGGCCTGTCTCGCTATCTACCAAGAGTTTCCTGGGCTGTTTCTGGAGTCTTTGTGACCGAGTTTCATTTGTCATCGTCAATTAACCACTATCTAGCTTTCCATCGACCACAGTTACATTTTAGGGATGAGAAACCTTCCTGTGCCACAACTTCAACATATCGTCAAAGTTTCCCGAGCTTGGACAACCTTGCAAGGGCTTGTACTGTTCACTGGGCATCTATGTCCCCTTCACCCTCCTGTGACTCTATTGGCTCGACCAGTGTCATCGACACCTTGCCCTTCCGATCAGCGGGAGATTTTCAAAGACAACTAGGCGCTCTCGGCCGTATTCAGCTTATCGAAACCTCAGTTGTACCTGATCACGACCACCTCCACGCGCGGCGACCTCCGTCCATAGGAGCGGTGAAGGACATTATCGCACTTCCGTCTGACATGTTAGCAATGGTTTTACTGCTCTGACGGGTTCGACTTCGGAGAAGACGAGGATCTATCCACAAGGCTGGCAGGATTTGACGCCTCTCCCCCTGCTAAACGTCCACATGGCGCCCCGCATCCACCCTCTTGCCAGCCATGGCAGCCCGACCCTTGTGAGGCCTTATCATGCATACAATATCGTGAAGGTGGCGTCATAGGCCGGGCGTACTTGGTGGATCTGACCGGCGGTGGACCACAATCTCTGAACGATCTCTGATTCACTCTTCTCGCGCTTTTGGCGTGTCTGTCGTGCTGCTGCCTTGGCCAGGGGCCACGCGGGGAGAGCTAGGTGGGGTATTGAGCCGCAAGGCTTTTCCTTGACCGCTCCGGGGGTTGTCATATGGGATGTATCAAATGCTGAGGGCAGTAAGAAGCTGGGCTGATGGAGCGTGCAACTGTAATAATGTTTTGGGCACCGACGGTACAGGCCTCGACCGCCTTTCATGAGCCGCACTAAGATTGTATGTAGACAAACCACCTCTTTTTCCCACGACTTATATAAGGCAGGCAGATGTTGGCAACTCTTTTCTCTCCCAGTCAAGGCTCTTGTCAATTCTCACAAACGACTAACTGCCCTGCCAAGATGTCAAGAATGTCAAGGGTATGTGACATCTCATGCGCGATGACGGACTCAAGGCTTCAAAGTGTTCTTGCTGACTCTCTTCCAGACTTCAGGTGGCATGCTGCCAAGACCCACCACGCGTGTGCCTGGCAGCAACAGAGCTTTTACAACCCTGAAAAATAATGCTAGAATAACTGAGGCCCGGCCTGCGCTCACGTTTCTTTTCGTCGTCAACGAGATATCAATTGCACATCCCCTGGTTGATATGTGGGGAGGTTCCCGCCCCCCCGAGAACCCTGGGGCATATCATATGGAGAGGCCCAGTGAGGTCATGAAGTATGAGAATGGAATCGTTACGCCTTACCCTGACTACTTTTATTGGTGTCGGAACCCTAGCCAGGACAACCGAGGGGCCATCTTCGCGCGGAACGCCAATGGTAATGTCACCGAGACGGAGGCTTACAAGACAGCCACCATCTTCTCCTGTCACCCACACATGCCGTTTGCCATGGTCGACGTTGACGCCTCAGTGGAGCAAACCTATAGCAGAGAGAATATGCCGTCCGATCAGCCCTGGCGATACCCAGTCTGGGAACCTCTGCAGTTCCTCCACCCCAGGGACCATCACCGAAGAGGCATATCGCAAGCTGTGTTCGGCACCAGCCCAATTGCGACACATCATAATGGCCCACTACAATATGTCGCAGGGTTTAATGCCAGCTGCATCCCTCGTCTTGTTCCGTGGACGTGTCAATACCCATACCCTCCTATCCAGCCATCCAAAGGCCTCGGCGGCGAACTGACAATTCTAATTGGCCTCATGGCCTTTTGCCCCAGCCGGGACTCCGTGGGAACCAGAGCGGAGCTGTTCATTCCCCAATACTGGAGAAATAACAAGTGGGAATGCGAAGCTCCCCCGCAAGGTTGTAAGTCTGCTCTCGAAATCAGCTGGGCACGCCCTGTAACCGACCTTGAGACTGACAAGACACCCCTCGTCTGTACAGATTCATGCTCCACCAAAGACACTCCGAAGGGATTCATTGTGTCTGTCGCTCTGGATCCCTGGAACCCATTGGGTTCTACGCGAGAGGCTTTGCAAGCATTTGAGTTCGACGGGGTGGTCATTGAAGAGTCTGCCCCGAGCAATTTGAACCCTTTTTTCTGACTGGAAAATCCAGGCCACGTCTTTTACCCTTCTCTGTTAAAGTTTTTATAATTGAGAGATATCCCTTTGTGTTATTACTTGATTTACTTATTGGCCTTCCCGACTACGTTGAGATGAAATACGGACGATGTCGATTTTTGTATTAGTTGTAATTGATGGCGATTGTATGATCAGGCTTCTGAAACAACCCTTGATGTGATTATCGGAATGAAGTAGAACAAGCAACAGAAATAGCGCTGCGAGAAGAGTAGGGACGATGATGAACGCTTCCCGTTCTGGCGGGGCCGACAGTCGAACAACTCAAGACGGGACGTAGATTAATGGAGCATTACACTGATGAGCGATCGCACATTTCATTCACGTAACCCAAATTCTCAATATGCTTGGCTTATAAGATGGTATTTTGGTGCCTTCCTCTAATCTAGGCTTGAACCAAACGGTAACTATGCTATTGAGCGATATAGGAAATTGAGAATGGAGTGTCTGTCCGGCTCTATCGTATAACGTGAATTGTTTCGTACGTCACGGGAGAATGGCCTATTTAAGAACCGAGACGTCAAATTACCTTCTAGAATCCTGCCTTTGATCCATCGAGGCTACCGTAAATTGTCAGCACACAAATAATTGAAGAAGACATTCGAAGATTTGGTCAAACACTTACATCTCTCTTGTCCTCAGCGAGCGAGCCGCACCTTGCTCTGACGCCGGCTCTATCATGATATAATCCTTGATAACAGCCGTACCATCACGCAGAGCCTCTATCTGCTTGTCGCTGCAAGAGCTGGTGTCAAGGATGTAGCAGAAGTCACCGTACTGAGGGGGCACCTCCGAGCGGATATGGAACACATCCGAGGGCCCCTCGGTCGCGTACGTGGCATTCGCGGCGGTGTCGATCTCCCCCGTCGCGATGTCGCGGTTGAAGAGCGCCCGGTTGAAGATCTGGTAGGCGGTCTCGGGCTGGTAGGCGGGGACGGCGTGCCCGGCCTGGTAGACGCGGATGAAGGACAGGTTGCCGTACTGGCGGACCTGCCCGCCCTCGTACGTCTTGTTGGTCTGGAGGGGCGCGTACCCGGCCGCGGAGAACTTGTTCTGGTTCTCCCATGGGATGGCGAGCGAGGCCTGCTCGCCGCCGATCCAGTTGCACGCGAAGTCTCTGTCGCCGTACATGAGCGTGACCTTGATGCCGCGGTGGAGCAGGTACGCGATATCCTCGATCCAGCCGGGCCGGTTGTAGTCTCCTATGCTGCGGAAGGCGGTGGAGGAAGCGGATGAGCTGCCGGTCCAGTTGAGAGGGACGCCGAGCGCAGACTGGATATGGGGTTGGTTGAGATAGCCAGCGGTGAAGGGAGCCGGGAAGGAGACGGGCTCGAGCTGAGTCACATCGTAGTAGTCGCGGCCAGAGACGGCGAGATACGGATCTCGCATGGTGTTGGAACAGTACGTCTCGGCTTTTTGACAGATCGAGTTCACGGTCGCATTGATCCCGATGTTTTCAGGGTCATAGAGCGCAGAGACCTCACGACAATTGTCGATTTGCTCGCGACACCCGCCGGGGCGATCAAAAGCATCTACCATGCTTTGATAGACCGTCTCGTTCACCGTTTTGATATCAAAGGTGTTGTTGAATGCCATTGTAGGATATGAAGGCCATTGCACCTTGCGGTCGATGCACCCATTCACGATGAGGAGCGTGTCTAGATTCAGGACGTATTGCTCACCCTCTGGACCCTCCCAAGTCCCATTTTGGATCTTC